GAATGCCCAGAATGTTGTGAAACTTGTATTAGGAGCCAATACACTTAGCTGTCCCCTATATTTATTATTACACTGGTTTAGGTATCATGATATTTATGGTTTTGTGATTCACATCTTAAAACCAATTACGTGTTTTCAGTGAATAGTGTGAGGGCAAAATAGCTCAGGTCTATGTATGTTTGATGCCATTTTCGTAGAAAGTGTATAGGCACATGTTTATATTTTTAGAAAAAGGATAAAGGGCATAAAAGAATAAAATTTCAAATCACGCCTCCATTTGTCTTCACTTGTATGCATTCTGCCATTTTTTGTGCATTCTCTCCTTTGTATTGACTTTGTGTCCATGCGTTCAACATATGCCCAGGCCAGCCCTATTTTTGCATAGTGCACCAGCATTGCTTGAGCATATGATTTTACCTATTGCTGATGGTAATTTTTATTCATAAGTGATTACAAATGGAGACGAGATTTGAGAAAAATTATCTTACATGACACAGTTTTACAGAAAAAGTTTCAGCCTATTTTCTGTATGTGCCAAAACTTTTAAAAAGCCTGTCCCCGAAGCTTATCTGTCAGTCAGAAAGCTTGCTGCTTCACAGTACATCCTTCTGTTTGGAAAAGAAAATTGAAAACGGATCTGCACAGGCAGAAGATTTTTACCAGACGATCGTGCCTCAGTCTATATTAAGAAGCGTTGGCCCCGCTCCAGGTGAGCTGGGAGCAGAAATATTAGCAGATTCCCTGCTTGCAGTCAGCGCAGGAGTCGAAGAAACCTGGAGCAGGGGTGGCTGGAGGATGGGGAAGAGCACATGGAGATGAGCCTTGTATCCAAACCAGCATCCCACATTTCCTCCGCGGTCTTCCAAGGAAAATCAAGACGTATAGTTTTAATGGGGCGAGTGGAAAAAGTGAGCTGGCGATGGGACGCTCCCCCGGTCACATGGCGGGAGTATAAATAGCCTCGGCCGGGGCCGGGGCCGGGGCCGGGGCCGCTCCTGCCCTGACCGGGCGGGAGCAGCCGGGCGCCTCGCTCCCCGGCGGCCGGCGCTGCGAGGCTGCCCGCCCGGAGCGGCCCGTTACGCTGCCTTCGGTGTTCCCTCCTGCCGATACCCGGCTCTCCAGTGTTTTGTCCATGATTCTGCAGTGTGTCAGGATGCCCTCTCGCCTCCCAGATCCGTATTCTGAGGCTTGGGGCAAACGTTGGGTATTTATAAAAACGTATTTCTTGGCCACCATTATTTATGCAGACCCTGTACATCATACTGTGGGTTTGGTAGCAGACAGACTACAAGGAGGGTTGGAAGAAAAATATCCCCCAGGGAGGGGCTTCTTATACACCTCTGTATAGCAAAAATATTTATTTAAACCATGAGCAAGTACTCAAATTCCTTTAGGAAGAACAAATAACTACTTAAATCTTGCCAATAGAGCAGAATAAAAGCTCTGCTAGTTGACATTTGGTAACGTTAAACTTCTGTTCTTTTACTCAATTGATTCCTTCCTTGGAGCGTGACTCAGATAGTCCAAGTATTTCTTGCAGATTTTATTTTCATGCACCTAAATTGCTGAGATGAGGAATGGCTAACAAGGTGTTAATGAAAAGCCATGTAGAAACAAAGTTTTTTGGCACTACCAAGTTATGGAAAAACTTCCTACCATGGAGACGTGTGTTAAAGGTAAATTTTGCCTTTTTTTTTTTTTTGAAGAATAAGTAACTTGGAGACAAGGAACTATGAGAGAGAAAATACAAATTCATGAGGGGGCATGTTTTGCCTGAAAGCAAAGATGATTTCTGAATTAAGCTGAAATGAAAACACGAAGTGCAGAAAGAACACAAGTCCTGTGGGGACTTGCTCAGAAGCCAGGTAAGAGGGGCACTCTCTTACCTGAATTCTGGTAGCAGCTGCCTTCCCTGATGCAAAAGCTGTGTCCATAGGGAGACACTCATAAAGGTTAAGCCAAATTAACAGAAAGTATGCAAAAAATAGACAAGTTGAAGTAGATGAAAGACTTGTATGCATAAAGTGATCCCAAGGGATAAACTAAAACAGACTGAGACCATTTCTGAGAACAGTTACATAGAAGTTTAATGTGTTTTAACTTCTGCATTGAAAAATCTTTGCTTTTACTCAGTGGTTTATTTTTTAAATATTTTTTAACCCCCTAGTGATTTGCAAAGAGGTAGTTGAACCAGCAACAGAGAAAGAATGAGATGTGTTACCAAGAAATAGGGAATTTTAATGAAGCCTGGCTATCAGAGCCCTGGAGAAAGGTGGACTTGGGAAAAGCGAAGGTTACGCCTGTTCCTTTGAGGGACCTCCAAATTAGTGATGCAGATGCTGCACTTTCACTTGGATCCTGCACTTATCAAAGCAAATCAAAGCTCAGACAAGCTAGATTACGTTTTTTCCCACTCTTAAAAAAAGGCAAGATGAGGTTTTTTTTTTTATAGAAACGTGCAAAAAATGCATCTGTAACAGCAAGTGACCAGAGTCTTCAATGTCTCTGACTGGCTGCCATGAAAACTGAGGGTGGGCTGAGTCTATACATGACTGACAGAGGTGATAAGATAAATGACACTTTGACCTGCCTTTAACGTGGTCTTATTTGCAACATTTACTGGTCTTGATGTTTATATTAATAATACATTTTAATCTGCCTGTTCTATCATTTCCTTAAAATAATTCAGTATCTTTACTTCCTAGCTGTTCTACCCTTCACATTTTTATTATTTAATCGAATAAGGGCACTGTCTTACAACTAAGTTGCACAGGTCTGTCTGATGTTTAAGTTTATATTCTGTGATCTTTTTGGAGGTCCTTCTCAAGTCACTTTTATTACAGTATGAAAAAATTACTGTTGAAGTAATGATGTTCCAATTCAGTGAGAGATCACATTTGTCTGCATTTAGTCATATATACTAACTGCATTTCTTCTTCCATCCTCTCCCCACGAGTGGCTGTTCTAATGATTAAAATAGTCTATTAGTGATACTTAGTGTATCAGTAGCAATTCAAGACATACAAACAAATGCCATCATTGTTTTTAATCTATGACTGTTTATCATTATAGTTTCTAATAATACAGTATACGTTCGTCAGTGTCACAGAATGAGATTATTCTAGAAGAGCCAATAAGCTCAGACTGCAGAACTACAGAAGCAAACAAATCCCCATGCCCTACCATGTATAATGTTTCAAGCTGCTTCATTTACGAAGTAAGACTCATTAACTGGGCAATGTATGGTAGCTTTCTCTTTAATTACACAGTTTTATTATACAGTGGAATTATTTTTCAGAATGCAACTGTTTTCACAGACTGACCTTTTATTATAAGAGAAGTTTCTGTCTAATGAAGAGAGGTAATTACAGCACCAAATAGACTTTTGACATATAGAAAGCTATTGTTACGAGGACTTTCCTAGTGCAGAATGTTATTTAAAAGAGAACTTAATTTACATATTTTAAAAGTTATAGAGTTGCGTATAAGTAGCAGTGATGTTGAGAGACAAACTAAGAAAAGCAGCGCTTGCAACTATCCTCAAGTTGCTCTGTAGTTCCGACAGTAGATTACATAGTATATGTTGCACCTGACAGAAAGGGTTTATGATAGGGAAATGAATGTTTGGAGTCACTTTCTGACCTTCTGTCCAGTGCGTTTTAGTTTTGTTCCTTTATTGTCTCTTTATTAGGATGTGTGACCACTTTCCACCCAGCACAGAGATCAGCCTTGACCTTTGCATGCCTAAATACTAGGGAGAATTTTCCTTGAAATCTGAAGCATAATAATTGTGAGGGACATTTGTTCTGACCACCACATCGAACAGCTCACTCAGCAGGATTTAAGTGTGATAAATGCCCTTGCCCCAGGTGGCTGATTTTTGCAGTGGAATTAAGCGTGGTAGTAGAGGTTGCAGTAGAGTTTGCCAGTTATTCCAGCTACGAATCCTTTCACTGTACTTTGTAAGCATTACTCTCTGACAGAGATGTCTTATTAAAATAAGAAATCTATAAGATTTGGAATATTTAAATTATTTCATTTACTTAAATAGGCTACTTGGGTACGTATTTTCCCATATCGAGAGCCTGAACTCCTTTAGGTTGATACTGGAGAAGAGCTTAATCATTCCATGCTAGGACAGGAGATTTACAGGAAGAAATAATTCTCTTTTTTTCCTTCCCCCTCCCTCCCCAAATAGAAATGACAACTAACTCTGTTAGTCCTTTTATTTTCTTCTTGAAAACATCAGAAGGAGCAGATTTTGTTTGCAGTGTGTTTACAAAGGGAAAAAGTTGCAAAAGTTAGAGCAGAAGATTTGGCATTGCAGAGTCTCAATAGCTGTCTTCAGAGCTCTCTTTAGGATCTCTGTCTCCTTAGGAGCTCGCTCTCTCTAGGAGGAAAACAAAACACTGTGATTGACTGTTCCCACAATGTGAATAGGAAACAGTTGAAGTAGTAGTCAGGACACAGGTGGCCGGCAGTGCACAGTCTGCCAAGCAGCCACAGGAATGGTTTGTTAAATTCAAATACAACCTCTAATACAAATTGGAGGTTTTTCTTTGGTTATCCCACAAGCAAAAAACGTGGCTGAATTTAGTGACAGAATTATTTTTCTGTACCTTCTAGTATACACCTGTGCATTTGTAGCGCAAAACTTGTTGAAGTCTCTTCCAAGAGCAGCTCAGTTCATGTGTTTTAAAGATCCCGTCAATCAGAAAGCATGTCAGAGGAAACCACTTCGTTAAGGGATGAGGTACATGCAATGCAACCCAATAAAGACTGTATCTGAAGCTTCTTAGATTGCTGCTTTCACTTCCTGCCTTTCTTGTTTTTCACACCTTTGCATGTATGGTGAGAAGCAGAGAAAAGCAAACGAAATCCTTTTATTAACTGTTCCTAACTTGAGAAGCTTGTATTTGTAACCATTTGCGGGGCTGTGTCATATCATGGTTTATATTCTTGCTATTATGTCTTCACCTAGAGAAGCAGGAAGGTAAGTGGGAAAAACACCCCAGTGCTGCTTCTGTGTACTTTGAATAGAAGTCCAAATAGTATTTATAGCCAAGTTATAAACCCAGGCAAATGGGCTTCTTAGACTGCCTGTATCGTGTTGCTAATGATCGTCCTATTACCAGTTCTTAACGCAGTTTCTTTATGGATAAGATCATGTTTCATGATGTTGAGGGAAAAGACGGCATTTTAGTTTTTAAAATGTTGTTATTATATGGCGGTTTACTCCTTTAAATGTTATTTTTCTTCAGCTGAAGACATTATAGTTATTCTCAAGTATAAACATTGCCAGTTGTTCTTAAAGCTCTGAAAGGCTTTGCATTTGGTAATTAAATGAACTGCTTGAGTTAGTATTGTACTTTTCAGCCTTTCACATTTAATTAACATTCAAGTGGGAATTATGAACAATTTATATCTGTCAGGAAAAGACAAGACGTAACAAATTGTCTCCGTGCAGATGTGAAATTGAGGCAACCTTAGAGAGACTGAAGAAACTGGAGCGTGATCTGAGCTTTAAAGAGCAGGAGCTAAAGGAACGGGAGCGACGTTTGAGGATGTGGGAGCAGAAGTTAACCGAACAGTCAAATACTCCTGTAAGTAGATAATAATTCGACCTTTCATCTTTCTTCAGAAAGTATTTGGAGCTTTGTCTATGTAAATGTAAAGACACACCAAGGAAATAGTGCCCCTCTTTTCTTTAGTTGTGCCTTTGGGCCAATTAAGCCTATTTTATTACATCGCTGCAAATAACTATATTATTTTTTAACATTTCATGTAATACATTAGGTATCAGATATTGCTGATAGTTCATATTGTGCCATGGGCACTTAAGTAGTTTCCCATTGATTTAATTACAGTTCTCAGCTTTAAAAGTTGATTGCATTCAATAAATTCGTTTTTGAACTAGAAAGTTGTTGACTTCAGTGGATGCAGGATTTGGTCTTAAATGTAAGAATCATTTGCTTCTTGTGGAAGAAGGCTTGAGAAACCTGTGTAGATTTTTTTATTCTGTTCTTTTTCTTTGAGAAGAAGCAAATTTCCATTCTGTGAAAAAGGGGGTCAAAATTTGAAGTGTTAATTTAGGGCTTTGTTCGTAATTATAGTTAACATACTTGTACTGGCCAGTTATTAGCTGTTAGGTTTGCCACATTTCTATTAATAAATTGAAAAAAAAAAACTTGCTTGGATTATCTTGAATTTTTTTAATAAAATACAATGCTCTTGACTACTGATTGGCAGAGGGAGGACCACAGGATTAGTGCATGGCTAGACATATTACAACAGAATTGTTGTTAAGAAAAACACCACATTACCTACTTGTTTTTAAAGCACTAGCCAAAACAAATACTAAATTGAGATTGAGGCGGCATATGATTTTTCTTATGCACAATTTTATCCTACTTACAACATTGATTCCAGCCAGACCCATTTACATACAACTTGTTTTTAAGGCATAGCCTATTGCTGTTGTTTGAATGAAGTTGCATTCATGTTCCAGCTGTGAACATCCAGTAATGAAATCATGAAGAATTAATGTTTTCCTATGTGCAGATACTGTATGTTCTCAGTAGATATCTGTATGCCTGCTTTAACGCTTGCAAACTTCCAGTAACTGAGCTGTGGGCCATCATCTATCCTGAGCACAGCATGAGACACAGCCTTAATGAGCAAATCTTTTCACGAGCAAGGCCCTAGGGTTTTTTATGCTGTACTTGCTTATGACTTCTACTTTTCACTTAGAGCTGGCATTGCTGAAAGAATAAAGCATTGTGCTAAGGCCTATTGTGCTAAGCATGAACTATCTTTCTGCATAACATTAACCCAACTCTCCTATTGCATTTAAATGCAATTTCTTCTAATAGAGAAATACAGGTTTGTTTTTTCCATAGATCTTTAGTGGACTGTTAGATGGAACGGCTTTAAAAAAAAGCCCTTTTGTTGAAAAAAAATTGATATGCTGGCAAAAATTGGCTTGTTCAAGCAGAATTTTTTTTTCATAGCAAATGAAGTTTTACAAGGCACTGATTATAAATACAACTGTATTTTAAATTCATAGCTGTAAATAATTTGCAAAATATCCCTGAGCATTCTGTTTGCAAGCTGTAATCCTTGGAGTCAATTGTCTCTCTCCCTCCCTTGGTTCAGGGTATGTCTGCTCAGCAGTATCAAAGTGGAGGATTGCAACAGGGAGGTGCACTGCTCAATTTTAAGCTACCTTGGCTGTAAGAACAGTAGTAAAGCTATGGCACCAATGCTAATAACACAGCTTAGGGTGCCCACTAGGCTTATACCTCGTTCTTAACCAACGCTAGGCCTTGTTGTGTCTTAGCTGGTACTGTCATCCCTGCTCTATGCTCTGCAGTCACTTCTTCATTTTGCTCTGCAGCAAAGACCAGAGGCCAGCAGATACTATTAAAGTGGTGTGCAGGAGGAGAAACCCAAACCAAGTGAAAGGAGAACAGGGAAGCTGTCTCTGCCACTTGATTCTCCAGTGTTTCAGGGTTGGTAGAAGCTTCATCCTGCATGATAGGTAGCTATGAGTGGCAGGCTGCTCCTACTCCAAAGAATAAAGTATAGCTTTACATACATCAGCATGAGGCCAATCTTTAGAAACACTTCTGTGAAAGTAGTGTTTCTCCCTGCTCTTGTTTTGACCCTGTTTCTGCTGTGTCTTACACAACACACACCTTTGAGTCTGATCTCTGCAAATTCCCTTTGTGCAGATCTCCAAGAGCCTCTTGCACAAGGGAATCTGGAGCCTTTTGGAGGAGTAAAATATATCCACAGCTGTAGTGAAATGGGAGACTTCTTTTGAAAGAGGACCTGACTTTAAGAAGGGAGTGTATGTAGTTAAGCTGAAGCTCATATTTAGGGGAAGACAGTGAGCAAGGCATGAAATCCAGATATTCACCTGTGGTGCCATGCACCTACAGGTGGTCATTTAAGAAGAACAGTGGCTTATACGCAGATTGGGGATCCCAGCCATCTATAAAAGTCTCTTCATGATAGTTACCATATGCAATGTGACACCAAAGGCAGGTCCTAAGGCAGGTCCTCTCTCAGAAAGCTCCTAGGTTCTCTGGATAACGAGATGGCAAAATATGGAGGAAGTTATAACTTGCAAAATGAGCCACAGTTATGGCCCATTCGCAGCTTACCCACTGCCAGGCATTGCACAAATGCTGACCCAGAAATGTGTTTTAGAGGAAAGCTGTTCTGCAGCTTTGTTGATTTTTTATAGGGAATTCTTTCCATATGTCAGGGGATGCTTTTCCATGGATCCAAAGTGACTAAAACTCCAATAACTGACAGAAGAACTGCCTGGCACTGAATCGTGTGTGCTCGGCATCTTGTTTCTGCAGCTAGATCGTGTTTTTAAAATATTCCTTCTCTTTATCAGTAGGAGCTTTTGGTGTCCTTGATCCGAGTAGCGCTCTGGTGATGGTGTAATTGTTTTTTCCTGTCCAGCCAGGTGTACAGAAGCTTAGCTGCAGGTTCTCTCGTCACTTAGCCGCAGGACTCATGAAGAGTATTTAGGGCACTCCATCTCCCCAGCTTCTTAATTTTATTTTCATTTCTTAAACCATGATCACTAACTTTTCTTAACCACAATGCAAATAGAAAGCCTGTGTAAGTAGGGAAAACTCAAGAAACAAAAGACAGGTGTTGTCCTTTTTAGTGATAGACAATTTGTTAATATAAGTGGTTTTGCCAAGAAATGGGCACTCTCTGAGCAGCCTGGCCATGAAGCCTCCTGTGTTACAGACCAGGGCATCACCATAATCACCCCTGTAACCCGTTGTGACCAACTGCCGTTGACTTTTCAGTCAGTTTTCTGATTAGATTAAAAAACATGTAGAAACCCATGAATTTTGGGCAGATAATTTTGCAGACAGCTTTTGAAAGAAAGATCAGTTCAGGCGTTCACACACAGCTCCTTTGCTGTTGCTTTAGTAGGTAGTTTAATTTGGGATGAAACTCCTGAGTTTTTACTCCCCGTGGAGAACAGACAGGCATGTCACAGAGGTTACTAGCCCAGCCACTCTGAAGAGGCATTAATCATTATTTAGCTGGAGAGGGCACATTTCATTTGTTATTACAAACAGACTGGGTCAGGAAAACACTGTTCTCTGTAGGTGAAGATTAAACCAGTAGAGATTTAATATGATGTACAACCAAATGGCAGATATCTATTGATATCAGTAAAAAAAAAAAAAAAAAAAAAAAAAATAAAAAAAAAGAAAAGGCAACCAAGCTGAAGAAGACGGCCAGCCGACAAAAC